ACGGCCAAGTTCGTTGCGGTGCTCAGCGTCGGAGACTTATACAAGAGCCTGCGGCGCAAAACCCCGAGGTCGTACTCGGCATTGATGATGAAAGCAGATCGGTATGCCGAGGTGGAGGAAGCTAATCGCCTAAAGTATCGAGAGGAGGGTGAGGGTGGTAAGAGGCCACGACTCGAAGGGCTGCCAAAAACCTAGGAAAGGGGCCAACCGCCCATCCGGAACCATAGATGGAAGAATAAGGTAGCTTGCATAACTTCACCACTTTACGTTAAATCATGCGAATAATAATATCAATACTCTTTTCACAAACATGTGCTCCTATGTGTTATACATGCGTGGCCTATGGTCACCTGAACTATGTGCTCATATGTGCTACGCATGCATGACCAACGTCCACCTCACTTATGTGCTCCTATTTGCTATGCATGCTGGCCCTACGGCCATTGCGGACGGGGCATGTTGGTTATCGCAACCCACATTCGCGGACTTGCCCTGGCAAGTCGCATAGTGTTGGCAGATGGGGCGTGTGGGTTATCGCAACCCACATGCGCGAACTTGGCCCTGGCAAGTCGCATGGTGTTGGCGAATGGGGCGTGTGGGTTATCGCTTCCCACATGCGCGGACTTGCCCTCGGCAAGCCGCATGGTGTTGGCGGATGGGGCGTGTGGGTTATCGCAACCCACATGCGCGGATTTGCCCCTAGCAAGCCGCATGGTTTTTGGGCGGATGGGGCGTGTGGGTTACTGCAACCTGCACTACCCCATCCTTCAACCATTAGTTATATTCAAATGCAGGTGCAGTATGGAGAAATTAACAAACGCAGACTAAATAAATGCAACAAAGGAGATGTCCGGTACACGAAGCATCCAAGAAGCGACAATAGAGGAGGCACCTTGGCCTCTCGATACTAAGTGATGAAGCAGGTCCTGCGACGTGCGGTGTACAATAGAGGCACGCGGTAATGATGTGGCGAGGCGGCGTGTGGCATGTGGCAGTAGCGCACGATGGTGGCAGGAACCGACAAATACCTTGAAAAGTTGGAACTGGAATTTGAGTTTGGGAAAAAGAGGAGATGGTGGTACCGAATTCTACTTCCTTTAGGCATCAAGATACCTAAAAGAAGTGGGGGACTTGTGATGGGGATATGGGACCATAGGGGGTCCATTTTATTGGGAAAGTATTGGCCCAAGTGGGGGTGGTGAAAGAAGGAGGTTGGCAAAAGTCTTGTTAGGCTAGGAAGACAAACACGCGTGGTGGACTGGGGTGAAGAACATGAACCAGAAGGTGGGAGGTAGGTATGGTGTGAAGGGGGTGGGGGGAGGTAGGTGCGGTAGGTAGGTACGGCGTGAGGGGGGAGGTAGGTGCGGGAGGTAGGTACGGCGTGAGGGGGGAGGTAGTTGCGGCGTGAGGGGGGTGGTAGGTGCGGCGTGAGGGGGTAGGTTGGCACGGCGTCCGCGGGGGAGGTAGGTACGACGTGAGGGGGGGAGGTAGGTGCGGCGTGCATGGTGGAGGATCTTAGTCAGCGTGCGCAGTGTGGAAGCGGGAGTCGTGGGGATAGCGGCGACGTGACGTGCATGGCAACAAACAAGCGGAGTGGGTGAGTAACAACATGGGACACGTGGACGCTAGAGGAGGAGGGGGGCTTGCTATAAATAGGGGCCCTAGATCTTTAGCCAAGGGCAACTTAAACACGACAGGCACTAAAGTCTAGTGGTCTTGATCTCATACTCTCAATTCAGTCACCTGGGTTCGATTCCTTCCAGTAGTATAGTTAGCTATAGCCCATCTTGTGGGCCATGTTCTTTGTATTTGGGCCGCCATTTTGGGCCTGTACCTTGGGCTTTTGTACGCATTGTTCTGGGCCTTGCGCCCTACCCCCGTCCTATGTTCCTATACCCGGTTTATGGTTGACCCGGTTCCAATAAAACCTTCATTGGCACCGTCTGTAGGGATCGCTACGATTAGGCCGTGTTTGTAGTCTCTACTGCCCAAGCAATAGTCTGAGGTACGCCGAAATGGCTGGCTCACAAGGAGAGCATTTACCCGTTCAACCACGCAGTGGGGGTGGACGAAACATCGGCCGCGGTGTGACGGAGTCACCCACCCCGCTTCATGCCGGAGGAGGGAGACAGGAGGACGAACGAGCCAACGTTATCCACGCTGGGTAGTCCCCGCTAGGCCCAAGGTCTGAACTCCTAGGAAACGGGAGGAGGGCACTCGTGATGCCACGTGGTCAAGGGTCGCAGAGGGGTGACACCCGCGAGGGAAGTCTGGAAGAAGCCGAAGGGGAGAGTGCATATTTCCCCTCGGTAGTGACAGCACGGGTCAAGCCATCGGCGGATTGGTTGGACGCGATGAAGGCCAAGATAGATGAGTTGGTGCGGTGGAAGGAGTATGGCGCTAACGCCGTGGTACCCAATATTTCCCGCATCCCGCCTTTCACCCCCAATATCATGAACGAACCCCTCCCCCGAACTTTAAAGCCCCCAACATTAGGAGAAATGACGGGACGGACGATCCCCAAGAGCACATCTTGACATACCAAGCGGCCATGATGCTCATGGGGTCGTCGGACGCCCTGATGTGTCACGCATTTTTCTCCACGCTGTCGGGAGGGGCGCTGCGATGGTTCACAAGCTTGAAGGGCAGCTCGTTAAATTCATTCCAGGACCTTGCCACTAAGTTTATCACCCATTTCATGAGGGGAAAAAGGCGCAGGAAGCACTTCACGCACCTTGCCAGCGTCAAGAAGGAAAGAGATGAAACTCTTACTGAATTCATCTCGCGGTGGAGGAAAGAAGAGACCGAGGTCGAAGATATAGATGGCGGATCGGCGATAGCCATGTTCGTTGCGGCGCTCTGCCCCGGAGACTTATACAAGAGCCTGCAGCGCAAAACCCCGAGGTCGTACTCGGCATTGATGATGAAAGCAGATCGGTATGCCAAGGCGGAGGAAGCTAATCGCCTAAAGTATCTAGAGGAGGGTGAGAGTGGCAAGAGGCCATGGCTCGAAGGGCCGCCTAAAACCTAGGAAAGGGGCTAACTGCCCGTCCGGAAGCTTAGATAGAAGAATAAGGTAGCTTGCATAGCTTTACCACTTTATGTTACATCATGCAAATAATAATATCAGTACTGTTTTCCCAAATATGTGCTCCTATGTGCTATGCATGAGTGGCCTATGGTCACCTCAAGTATGTGCTCCTATGTTGTACGCATGCATGGCCTACGGCCACCTCACTTATGTGCTCCTATGTGCAATGCATGATGGCCCTACGGCCATGGCGGATGGGGCGTGTGGGTTATCGCAACCCACATGCGCGGACTTGCCCCTGACAAGCCGCATAGTGTTGGCGGATGGGGCATGTGGGTTATCGCAACCCACATGTGCGGACTTGCCCCCGGCAAGCCGCATGGTGTTGGCGGATGGGGCATGTGGGTTATCGCAACCCACATGTGCGGACTTGCCCCCGGCAAGCCGCATGGTGTTGGCGGATGGGGCGTGTGGCTTATCGCAACCCACATGCGCGGACTTGCCCCCGGCAAGCCGCATGGTGTTGGTGGATGGGGCGTGTGGGTTATCACAACCCACATGCGCGGGCTTGCCCCCGGCAAGCCGCATGGTGTTGGCGGATGGGGCGTGTGGGTTATTGCAACCCACATGCGCGGACTTGCCCCCGGGGCCGCATGGTGTTGGCGGATGGGGCGTGTGGGTTATCGCAACCCACATCCGCGGACTTGCCCCCTGCAAGCCGCATGGTTTTGGGGCGGATGAGGCGTGTGGGTTATCGCAACCTGCACTATCCCACCCTACAACCATTAGTTATATTCAAATGCAGGTGCAGTATGGAGAAATCAACAAATACAGATTAAATAAATGCAATAAAGGAGATGTCCGATATACGAAGCATCCAAGAAGCGACAATAGAGGAGTCACCTTGGCCTCTCGACACTAGGTGATGAAGCAGGTCATGCGACGTGCGGTGTGCGGCAGAGGCACGGAGTAATGACGTGGCGCGTCGGCGTGTGGCATGTGGCAGTAGCGCACAATGGTGGCAGGAACCGACAAATATCTGGAAAAGTTGGAACTAGAATTTGAGTTTGGGAAAGAAAGGAGGTGGTGGTACCAAATTCTACTTCCTTTAGGCATCAAGATTCCTTAAAGAAGTGGGGGACTTCTGATAGGGATATGGGACCCTAGGTCGTCCATTTTATTAGGAAAGTATTGGCCCAAGTGGGTGTGGTGAAAGAAGGAGGTTGGCCCAAGTCTTGCTGGGCTAGGAAGAAAAGCACGCATGGTGGGCCGGGGTAAAGAGCATGGACCGGAAGGGGGGAGGTAGGTATGGTGTGAAAGTGAGGGGGGGGGGAGGTAGGTGCGGGAGGTATGTATGTCGTGAGGGGGTGAGGTAGGTGCGGGAGGTATGTACGTCGTGAGGGGGGGAGGTAGGTACGGTGTGAGGGGGGAGGTAGGTACAGCGTTAGGGGGGGTAGGTACAGCGTGTGGGGGGGGGGGGGGAGGTAGGTGCGGCGTGCATGGTGGAGGATGTTAGTCAGCGTGCGCGGTGTGGAAGCAGGAGTTGTGCGGATAGCGGCGACGTGACATGCATGGCGACAAACAAGCGGAGTGGGGGAGTAACAACATGGGACACGTGGACCCCAAAGGAGGAGGGGGACTTGCTATAAATAGGGGCGCTGGATCTTTGGCTAAGGGCAACTTAGACACGACAGGCACTAAGGTCTAGTGGTTTTGATCTCATACTCTCAATTCAGTCACCTGGGTTTGATTCCTACCAGTAGCATAGTTAGTTATAGCCCATCATGTGGGCTCTGTTCTTTGTATTTGGGCCTGTACCTCGGGCTTTTGTACGCGATGTTCTGGGCCTAGCGCCCTACCCCCGTCCTATGTTTCTATACCCGGTTTATGGTGGACCTGGTCCCAATAAAACCTTCAGGTATCAATACCACATTAGCATTGTTCAGGTCCGTGGGGAAACTCCTTTGACTGGGATCTTAGTTCTACTATGAACTTCTTATCTTGCAAGCGCTTGTTGATATTTGGCAATAGTGGTAGTTTATTCCCCTACATCTTTCATGTGTTGTGAGATGTGTGTCGTAGATTATCATGTAAAAGTATTGAACAAAATATTAATACTTATTATATTTTTATAAAATACTTGGTAAATAAATATATAACATATTTTGTATTATAATTTTGATATTTAATACACAAGATAGTGTAAAAAGAATACAATGGACAATGTAGTGATCAATATAATTAATTAATGAATTTGAAGGTAAGAAATCTTTCAATTGTAGAATATAAAGATAATATAACTAATAAAATTATATCTCTTTTCAATTTATTTTTATAGTGAATAATTTTTTTTAATAAAGGCATTATAGAGATCTAATTCTAAATTAATTAAATGCATATGTATTATTTGTTGTTGTAGTTACTAATTTATTTAATTAATTTAATAAGAGTAATAAAGTGGGGTACTTACTTTTCATCCACAACAATGAAGTCATTGATTTTTATTACATTCGTTGTCGAGACAAATTATTTTGGGAGTTTGTCAATGACAATTGCTACAATTGCTGTCAATAGAGAATGATAATAAATAATTCGAAATATATGGTTACAATAGATATTGTTATAATGATATAGTAAAAACTAACTTACAAATTTCTTTAGAAGTTTCATGCATTGATAAAATTCTGAGAATGATGTATAAACTTGTTCAATTGTAGTCAGTGGGATGTTAACATTGTCAATTCATTGGAAAATGCTCCTACCGTTTTAGAGTCCAAATGTAGTTGTATTTTTTTATCAACAACTTTGTAGTTTAGTCACTCAGGTCTGACAATGATGTAAAAATAATTTTGTACGATAAAAAAAAAATATTACAATATTTGTAAAGTAATGTACAATTGTACCATTATAGAAATACATATAAAAAAATATTAATACCATAATAACCTAATTCATTCAAATAATGCAAAAGCATAATTGAAATATTGAGTCTTGTTCTAAATAATCAAAAGAATATTAATTAAACGAAATAAAAAAGAAAAAAAAATTAACCTAAATTAGTTTTTAAAAAAATGCAAGAAAATGATTTTCAAGGTTCTTGATTTGTAATCTTTGATACTCAACTTTGAATGTCATATATTTAGTCAAGCTAATTATTTGACCAAAGTTTATGTTAAATTTTATATTGTATTTTTTAATACATTTTAACATATTCGTAGTATATGTTTAACAATTATGTCAGCTCTGCTGGGGTGGGGTTCAAACCTAAAACGTTTCTTATAGAAATTAATGAGTAAATTAAGAATAATAAATAGTTAACGGTATATTCCGTTACTAAAGTTTATACTAACAGAATGCAAGACTATTTAAGCGAAGAAAATAATATAATAGAGGGTAAATAAGAAAAATTATGAAAAAAAATACTAAAATTAAAATAATATGAACCATTCATTTCAACAAACAATTACACCAACTTTTTTTTTTTCCCATTAAGGCCTAACTTTATTGGCTCTTATTAAATCTTATTACGTGAAATATGATGATCTATATTTATCATATTTCACATTCCATATTCTATCGTTTGGAGAAATATAATTATAGATAAAATGTAAGATAAATGCTATGTACCCAAGATTATCAGAACATATGATTTTTACATACTGTGCTTAATTAGTGTTTAGTGAACATACATGGTTCCATGGTTTTCATGTGTTGCTTGAACTAGAAACTTGATTTCTTCCTCCATATTTTTAGCATTCCCTTAATCTAAGAACTCCAATGGAGAGAGAGTTTTAGTTTTCATTTTTAGAAGATCGGGGAGAGGACATAGTCTCGGAAGAAAAAAATTAGTCTTAGATTTCATTAACATGAGAAGTTCCCTGATGAACAGTTGAAACTGCTATCTAAATATCTTATCTCTCAATTGACCAATAATAAACTAGATCATTATTAAAGTTAAATAGATCCTTTCAAAAAAAAAAAAAAAGCAAAATAGATATTTATCATAATTGGGGAACATAAAATTATTAATTAATTAACCACATCAATAATAATTATTATTTTTAACAGAAAAGACCAATGGCCCGTTTGGTTCACGGAATAGGCCGGGAATGGCATAGCATTCCCAGTAATAGGCCTATTCCTTTGTTTGGTAACCATTTCCATTACCAGGAATTACCTCAAATAAGGTAATAGCTATTACTAGGGCCCCCCCTGGTATTAGCCTATTACTGAACGCTCAGGAATAGATTTTAGAATCTATTTTCTTTTTTACCCTTTTCTTTAACCTAATTTTTTTTATCCTATATATAAATTTATCCTATTTCACCACCGTCGTGGCCGCCACCACCACCATCGCCGCCGCCGCCACCACCACCACCATCGTCGCCCCCACCACCACCGCCGCCGCCCCAACCACTGCCACCACCACCGCCGCCCCAACCACTGCCACCACCGCCACCACCACCATTACCACCCAACAACACCACCGTCACCACCAAGCCGCCACCACCACCACTACCACCCCAGCACCACCACCGTCATCACCAGGCCACCATCACTACCACCGCCACCACCATCGCCGTCGCCGCCGCCACCACCGCCACAACCGTCGCCGCCCCACCACCACTGCCACAACTGTCACCGTCAACCTGCCACCGCCACCACCACCACCACCGCCACCACCACTATCACCACCACCGCCACCACCATCACCACCACCGCCACCACTACCACCACCACCATCGCCACCATCACATATTTTTATAAGGGTATTTATGTCTTTTAAAACATATTTCATTTGTATTCCTTAAATCAACCAAACACTGTAATATAATTCCTAAAGTCTATTCCTTCCGAACCAAACAATAGAATACAATTCCTATTCTGTTCCTTGCCTATTCCATTCCTTATGGAATAGCATTCCTATTACCTCAAAATTCATTCCGTGAACCAAACGTGCTGCAAAGGTATAATGAATTGATCGTTCTCCATCCATCATCAAAAATACGAGTTTTAAGTATACTTCTGATTAGGCCAAATTGCAAAAGGTACAATCATTATTGTGTGGCATCATAATCCACACTGCTATGTGAAATACGGTTCAAAAATACATAAAATATATTATTCTAATTCATAAAATAAATTAATTTAACATATAAAATACATTATTTAACTCATAAAATACATTATATATCTTACTCAAAAATTTTATTATTATGGATCAAAGTCATTTGTCTAAAGCCTCTGCTATGGTGTCTAGTTGTGCTTTCTGTGGGCAAGGTTCCTTCAACGTATTATGAACACATAAAATATATTATATATTATTCTAACTCATAAAATACATTATTCTAACAAATAAAATACATTATTCTAATTCATAAAATACATTATCTTACCTAAAAAATTTCATTATTCTAACTCATAATTTTTTTAAATATCAAACAATTTCCTTTGAACGGTGGTCCACATAGTTGTGTGGATCGCAATAATTGGCCCCAAGGTAATAGCAGTGTTGCACGGGGGCAATTTATATCGTGCACCATGGTGCGCATTGCATTGTGCGCCCTAGTGCAAAATGACGTCGTTTCGAATTGGTTTTTTTTTTTTTTTTGGAAATTTTCACTATCCTGTGTCGGCTGTTAATTTTCTTTTAAAAAAATCTCGTGTTAAAAAATTTACATACTTGAATACTAGAATGTAAATAATTGTATAAAAAAAATGTAATATAATTGTATAACAAAATACACATACTTTTTTTTGAAAAGATAATACACATAATCTAACAAAATACATAATACACATAAACTCTTAACATAATACACATAAATTTCCTGTTTTGGATGTACATAATTGTATTAAAAAAAATGTACATAATTGTATAAACAATGTACATAATTGTATAAAAAATTGTACATAATTGTATACCATAATATACATAATCGCGTCAACTCTTTACATAACTTACCAAAACGACGTCGTTTTGGGAGGCTGGTCCAATACCATAGTGCTATGTGCGTCGTGGTGCAGGGTATAACGATTGGCAAATTATATCGTGAACCAGGGTCCACAGTGCACTGGACCCTGGTCCAATACACAGAACTTGACTTCATAATGCACATAATTCATGTTGATAATATACATACATATAACACACGATATAATGAACATGAATTCTGTGTATTATGCCAAGTATTTATGTGTCCTCAGTTATATAATACACAGAATTCATGTTCATAATGCATAGAATTCATGTTCATTATATCATATTTATGTGTATGTATTATGAACATAAATTCTGTATATTATAAACATTAATTTTGTGCATTATGAAAATGAATTGTGTATTGGACCAGGATCTACCTGTAGACCCAGGTCCATAATATAACAATTGTGTTGCACGGTGTCTTTGGGCAAATTATTGTATGGACCATGGTCCACACAATGTTATGTGGACCATAATATAAAATACATTTTTAATATATTAAATGTACATTATTTTTGTACTGAATGTACATTATACAATATAATGTACACTCAGTACAAAAATAATGTACATCCCCTGAATATAATGTACATTATTTTTGTGCTGAATGTACATTATTTTTGTACTGAATGTACATTATTTTATAGTATACAAAATATGGTCCACACAACTTGTATGGACCATGGTCCACACAATAATGATTGGTGTCTTTGCTGTTGGGCCATTAAATTTTAGGGCTTTTAGGCCCTACTTTGGTTTCTACATCTTGGGGGGGTTTAAGTCCAGTTTTTAGGCTTTTTAAAGGCTAATTATTTGTTAATAAACTATTACTTTGGGCATCAAATTTTTGGTCTGTTTTGGATAAATTCAATCGTTATGCAGGGTGGATACGGATTCAAAAACGACGTCGTTTTGACATCTAACTTAAAAAAAAAAAAAAATCAGAATTGCATAACTATACACCTATAATTTCATTACATCCATATATAATTTCATAACTATACATTCAGAATTACATAACTACACATCCATAATTTCATAACTATAAATCCAGAATTGCATAACTACA